CTTGGTGGTGGTCACAAACGATTTTGGTGGTGGTTACAAATAATTTGATTGTTTGTGACCATTAATTATTAATTGTGACCAAAAAATTATTAATTGACCTAAAAATTATTAATTGTGACCAATTAATTGATAAATTGTGACCGTAAATAAGTATTGTGACTTACAAATTTTGTGATTTGTGACCGATGAAAAAATTGTGACTTTTAAATTTTTAAGTTGTGACCGATGAACAAATTGTGACCTATGAAATTTTTGAATTGTGACCTAAAAAAATTCGAATTGTGACCAAATTGTATATATATGTGATCGTTATATTTTTATTAATAAAACATATAATTAATTAATTAATTCATAAATAAATTTAAATAAAAACCTGATTTTTGAAATTTAAAACATCTAACCTTAATTTTGAAATGTGTATAAGTAAAAGTAGGATTTATGTATTCTTCCATTGAATCTTCACATAATGACAAATGAGTCCGCTTCATAAAAGTTTCATAAAGAGGACCAAAATATGGTAAATTCCGAGTTCCGACCATGCAATTCGCTTGATTAAGGGTGTGTTTGATGGATATTATTTTGGAAGAATGTATTTTGGAATAGTAGATTGATAGAGAATGTGTGGTTGAAAAAGAAGGAAAAGTTATTGATGTGATGGAAAATATTATTTTAATGAAGAATGTGTGGTTGAAAATGAGTAGAAGAATGAGAATGAAAATTTTAATGGGTACCAAACACACCCTTAGGAGAATGAGAATGAAAATTTTAATGGGTACCAAAAGGAGAAGTTATCCAAACATTTGATGTATTTTGAATAATTATCATTCTGTTTTTAAAAATTATAATTATACTCGCATAATTATTACATCACATTTTAATTACAATATACACCATCAACCTTTACACAATTTTGCACTTATGTCTTTAACTTTTTTCTAATTTCTTATTTTTACCTCTTGTATTTGATGATGATTTTATCCAAAAATTTAACTAGGAGAGTGTAAAAAGACTTATTTGCCTATTATATTTTTAAATAAGCAAAATTACCAATAAAATATGAAAGTTTGATAATATATATTTGCCCTTCATTACAATACATGCCATCAGAATATTTGGATATAAATTATAATTGGAGATGAGATGTGCTCACTAATTAAATGTTAAAAATAAGAATGTAACAACAAAATGAAATAAAATAAGTAAAAAAATGAGCAAAAAATGATGACATTGTGCATATTAAATCAAAAGTTGATAAAAATTTCAATCAAAATTAACAATTAATTTTAATCACACATTTTATCAAATTTTATTAAAATTTATTAAAAATCTGATTTTAAACTACACGAAACAAGGGCCCAATTTTTTACCATTTTGAATTCGAAAGATACTTTCATCCTTCTTTGGTTCTCATATTATATAATTGGTACGTCACCAAGTTTATTTTTTGGCTCATTGCTTTTAGGCATTTATAAATATCTCAGTGTAAAAATCTTTAGTCAAACTACTTTTTATTCAAATATTCATAATCACATATGCCTCCCACTTCTCCACCACTCATTTACCACTATACGTAGACACCTGCTTTTACTAGGCTTCGGCGCATACAAAGGACAAGTGGCTTGCATACAAATCCCATTCATCATATATGCTTTAGTTTTTTTAGCAACAATATTTAACTAGGAATAAAAGAGAAATAACAAACAAAAGAGGTGGACGTAGTCAAGACCTCTCGAAAGGAAATGCAAGTACATACTCTTAACTGAAAATCCAATAAATATTTCAATGATGTAATGGAAATCAATTAGACACAATAAACAACAAATGGCTTTAAAGCCTCAAAAGTAGATAATACTTATTACTAATGCCATCTAAATCTACTTCTAGTTATCGTTGAGTGTTTGAACAATTTTTTGGTAATGAGTTCGAAGTCACCATCATTTTCGATTTGGAGGGTGTTAGGGTCCACCGCAAAATCTTCTCCCAAGGAGCGACATCGAGAATTGTTGCAAGAAAAAGGCTTGTTGTACAGCCTTTTTGTACAGTAACTTACACAGTCCACACACATGGGGTGGGCCCCACCCCATGTGTGTGGGCTGTGTAAATTACTGTGTACCAAGGCTGTACACCAAGCAAGGTTCTTGTTGCAAAGGATACATATTAGTTCTTGGTCCTCGGGAAATTCATTTTCACATCCAAGGAAATTAACCTCTTCTTCAAAGAAGGAACTACCCAGATTTTCTTCTACATAGTATCTGGCAAATCCATCAAAGCCACCCATAAAGGAAATATCTTGCTTAACAATGTTCCTTTCTTTGTCTTATAGAGTTTCAAATTTTCTATGAATGGGGAGGGATGAGCTTAGACACTCAAGCTCGTATGAGTCCACATAAGGTGATGGATCATCAGATACGAAAGGCGAGGTCAACACATTAAGTAGGTTGGGGTTTAACAAAGGTGGTGGCGAGTTCTTGAGTTATAAAATTTTGTGAAAGAACAACTAGCACATAATACTCTTCATTATGATCATCCTTTCTCTCCTCAGAAATGCAATGCAAGAGGGTGCCAGAAGAATTAACTACTATAGCTTTACATTTGGACGACCCCATTAATCTTCTATCACCTGTATCTCATCCATCAAGAGACAATTGCTCGTAAACTTAAATCCAAGAGGAGTTGGATCATTTACCTAGGTTTTTCCCCTTCTTTTTGCCATCCCATCTGATGAGTCTGAAGATCGACTTCTTACCACTGCTTTAAGCATGTCCCTGAATGATGTCTTCATGACATCAAGACGAGGTTTGAATCATTCTTCAAGTGCAGTAAACCTAGATAACCCAAACAAGAAACAAGAATTTTGGGAGTAGAATTGGATGCTATCCAACTAAAATAACCCTACAATTATATCTTGCATTATGCAATAAATTGCAGTGGGAACTTAGCTGAATTGAGAAATAACCAATCTTGTGTTCATTCAGCATCCAGTACCAACAAATTCACGAAAACTTGTGCAATATTCAATGATAAAATATATATTTTCTGTTCAAAAGCAATCCCAGAAATGGTAATCCATTTATTTACATTAACAAATTAGTAGTTAAAAACTCCCAAACAGAGCAAACATAGAATGCAGAAATTCACAAACAGTTTATTCTGCTCTGCTGGCAGCAAGTTTCTTCTTCTTCCTGCTGAGCCTATCACACGTGAATGCCTTCTCCAGCTGCCCCACCCGGTGAGTTAAATCAATCAGCATTGAAGTTTGCATCTCGTTCCTCTCAAACAACTGCGTCATCAACCTCATCATTTTCTTATTGTCCTCCATCATACGCTCCAACACCTCGCAATTTCTCTTATTGTCATCCCTTGTTCCTATCCTTGATCCAACCTTTTCTTTCCCTGGGCATTCCACCTCTACCCAATCATCATTCTTTTGCTCATTCTTCTCAATCAAACTCTCTTCAACCGAACTATTTCTAAATTCTGCAGAGTCCAATTTTTCTGAACCTTCAAATTTAACTGAATTATTTTCCACTAAATCCATCATTCCATCTGAGCTATTGTCTTCCGCAGAGTTCATAATTTCTAGGGTTACAGGCTCCTCGAACGCTTCATCCTCGTCAGTATTCTCACCACTGCTTACCAAATTAACCGAAGCAATAGCATCAATCCTTTCCTGCAAAGCTATAGCCCTTCGAATCACAGCTTTCCTGCAATCCCTAACCCCCGAATCAACACCAGGAATCGAATCCAACTTAAGAAGCAGAGCCATCAAACCCTCGTTCATCCTCATCCTCTCCCTTGCATCCTTTCTGACCAACTCCACAACTTCACTCTTCAACAACATTCCCTCAATTTCATCCACTTGGATTTTGATAGCTTTAATCCTCTTGACGCTCTTCCTCACCAAAAATCCCCTGAATTTCTTCTGGATCTTCAAAGCAGACCAGGTTTTGGACTCCGATCCAACGGATTGGACTGGAATCTGAGCAACTTGGCGTCGAATCTTTTGGTCAGATGGTAGTTTAGACTGGAAGCGGCGGCTTCCGAAAAAGGGGCTATCCATTGAGGATACAATTTCCAATATTTTTCCGATTTCTGTTCAATTTGAAGTGATTATGGAAAAAGGAGGGAGGGAGANCTACCCAGATTTTCTTCTACATAGTATCTGGCAAATCCATCAAAGCCACCCATAAAGGAAATATCTTGCTTAACAATGTTCCTTTCTTTGTCTTATAGAGTTTCAAATTTTCTATGAATGGGGAGGGATGAGCTTAGACACTCAAGCTCGTATGAGTCCACATAAGGTGATGGATCATCAGATACGAAAGGCGAGGTCAACACATTAAGTAGGTTGGGGTTTAACAAAGGTGGTGGCGAGTTCTTGAGTTATAAAATTTTGTGAAAGAACAACTAGCACATAATACTCTTCATTATGATCATCCTTTCTCTCCTCAGAAATGCAATGCAAGAGGGTGCCAGAAGAATTAACTACTATAGCTTTACATTTGGACGACCCCATTAATCTTCTATCACCTGTATCTCATCCATCAAGAGACAATTGCTCGTAAACTTAAATCCAAGAGGAGTTGGATCATTTACCTAGGTTTTTCCCCTTCTTTTTGCCATCCCATCTGATGAGTCTGAAGATCGACTTCTTACCACTGCTTTAAGCATGTCCCTGAATGATGTCTTCATGACATCAAGACGAGGTTTGAATCATTCTTCAAGTGCAGTAAACCTAGATAACCCAAACAAGAAACAAGAATTTTGGTAGTAGAATTGGATGCTATCCAACTAAAATAACCCTACAATTATATCTTGCATTATGCAATAAATAGCAGTGGGAACTAAGCTGAATTGAGAAATAACCAAACTTGTGTTCATTCAGCATCCAGTATCAACACATTCACAAAAACTTGTGCAATATTCAATGATAAAATATATATTTTCTGTTCAAAAGCAATCCCAGAAATGGTAATCCATTTATTTACATTAACAAATTAGTAGTTAAAAACTCCCAAACAGAGCAAACATAGAATGCAGAAATTAACAGTTTATTCTGCTCTGCTAGCAGCAAGTTTCTTCTTCTTCTTCATCCTGCTGAGCCTATCACACGTGAATGCCTTCTCCAGCTGCCCCACCCGGTGAGTTAAATCACTCAGCATTGAAGTTTGCATCTCGTTCCTCTCGAACAACTGCGTCATCAACCTCATCATTTTCTTATTGTCCTCCATCATACGCTCCAACACCTCGCAATTTCTCTTATTTTCATCCCTTGTTACAATCCTTGATCCAACCTTTTCTTTCCCTGAGCATTCCACCTCTACCCAATCATCATTCTTTTGCTCATTCTTCTCAATCAAACTCTCTTCAACCGAACTATTTCTAAATTCTGCAGAGTCCAATTTTTCTGAATCTTCAAATTTAACTGAATTATTTTCCACTAAATCCATCATTCCATCTGAGCTATTGTCTTCCGCAGAGTTCATAATTTCTAGGGTTACAGGCTCCTTGAACGCTTCATCCTCGTCAGTATTCTCACCACTGCTTACCAAATTAACCGAAGCAATAGCATCAATCCTTTCCTGCAAAGCTATAGCCCTTCGAATCACAGCTTTCCTGCAATCCCTAACCCCCGAATCAACACCAGGAATCGAATCCAACTTAAGAAGCAGAGCCATCAAACCCTCGTTCATCCTCATCCTCTCCCTTGCATCCTTTCTGACCAACTCCACAACTTCACTCTTCAACAACATTCCCTCAATTTCATCCACTTGGATTTTGATAGCTTTAATCCTCTTGACGCTCTTCCTCACCAAAAATCCCCTGAATTTCTTCTGGATCTTCAAAGCAGACCAGGTTTTGGACTCCGATCCAACGGATTGGACTGGAATCTGAGCAACTTGGCGTCGAATCTTTTGGTCAGATGGTAGTTTAGACTGGAAGCGGCGGCTTCCGAAAAAGGGGCTATCCATTGAGGATACAATTTCCAATATTTTTCCGATTTCTGTTCAATTTGAAGTGATTATGGAAAAAGGAGGGAGGGAGAAAGATTTGAAAATTCTGGAAGTTTTAGGAATTTAAAGGTTGTGGAAAATCGTGAAGGCTTCCACGTAGAATTTGAGATTTGTGGAATTCAATTGCAATTCAACGCATATAATATATAGGACCCGTTTGTTTCCATTATTTGAACGGAAGAATAGATTTTTTGACCATTTTTTCCAAACAAATGATCGGTAGACAAACTAGTCAACAAAAGCAGCTGCTTCCCACTACAGCAGTATAAATTTTCATTAAAACTGGAAACAAATAGGGCCATATTTAACCGCCTTTATAATCGAGTAACAAATGCTACAACACTCACTAACTAGTCTACCGTTAGCGTTACACAAGGATATGAAGATGAGAATGAACTTCTGAAGAAGAGACCTGATATATCCATTGTGCTTAGTAGTTATGTCGAAAAAGAAGGGATAAACTAAAATTCTATAATTAATTGCATTTTTATCCAACTTCTATATCTACATTGACAATGGTTTAGGTTAATATTATTAGTGAAAATAATTTCCTGAACGTGAGCCCTTATTTGTTCAGATTTTCCATCATATCATTTCTTTCATTATTATTTTTACATTTTGAAATCTCTTTGCATAAGCAACTTTTACAAACTGTGTTTTTGCAATTGGCATTATTTTTAAGAAATACAAGATGTATTACACACACACACACACACATACATACATACATACATACATACATACAATGCGTTACAGCTTTGATTACACAATATTCATTCTGCTTGGAATCTGGATGCCTGCTTTCTTTAGAAGAGTAGTGGAAGCACGCTTAGCCATTGATATAACTTCTTCCTGTCAACAGTAGTTCACCCCTATGTTAGACGAGATTCAGTGGGTGATTTGAAGTGTTAAACCATACAACATACCTCGTCCACATTCAAGATTCGCTTGTCTCTCATAATCCAACGACCATTGCACATAACTGATGTTATATTTTCAGTTCGCATGGAATAAACGAGGCTAGAAATGCTGCAATTGTTATTTTGTTACAAGCATTTCGACAATAAAGAGATCAAAATGGCTTTCACATTAAATCACAAACATAAACACCCAGAAGAACCATAAAATATGCACAATTCCAAAGACAACTGGAAGTACTCAGTTACTCATATCAAGTGAGAACAGTTCCGTCCTGATTGAACCTTACCACACTAAAAGCATGGTGATTTGTAACAAAAATAAATAGGCAACTTGAAATTCGCGTCACTGATTCAGTGAATAAAGAGAAGTTTTACACAAACATATTTATTGTACTCCAACAGTCAATATGTACCCAGGGACAGTACCAGGATGAATAGTACGAGAAAATCGTCGGTGTGACACCATGAACAGTGAACTTATGGCTGAGAAGTGAGAACGAAGAGAGGGAATGTATTTGGGTTGGGTTATTTGTGAGCAGGGATTGAGATTGGTTTGGGTTGGGCTGGGCAGGGCAGGGCAGGGCAGGGAAGGGAAGGCAGGGGTTGAAACTCATAGGGAATTGGGTTTTTCATTTCTGAGCCAAAAGTTTTTTATCCTCATCTTTTGTGTGGCTGGAACAGATCCTTTATGGCTGTACGTACTCAACAAGCCAATGTTATCAATATAAAAGCAGTATCCGATATTCTTGAATTACAAGACATGGGGTGTACATTTTATCTCAAATAATCCCTATATTATGTCATCCTATTGGATTTTGGGTATAAACACTTTCAGAATTGCCTGCCCAACCAGTACAGTCCCAGCCAAATACATTAAAGTCAAAGAAAACGAAACAGATGCAATGTAAGTGTCAATTAAAGTCCTTTTTTCAACAAGATATAATCACATGCTATCTGAAATTGATCACCTTATTCTGGGGACTTTGATACAATGTAATAGACCAAGTAACTGCGGTATTTGAATTTCAGAGCATGTCTATATAGTGAGATGAAGGGGGGAATTTTTTTTTCTAACAGGTAGAACTAAGACAATTAACAGTGTAAACAACAATATGATCTTGGAAGCGTTTGATAATGCCTTTTCAAAAGTGGAATCATACCAATCATGAACAGGCATCATTGACCAGGTGGATGGATTGACTACAATAATATCAGCCTGCAGATATACAGACGAATACACTAGAACATTAAAATAAATTAAGAGCTACACAGATGATGATACACTGTGAACATGCAAACATTGTCAGAAAAAGACTAATACCAAAATGTGCCAATCAAGATATAGCCAAATGTCGACCAGTTGGGTGGAGAATTTTATAAAAGTAGGTCTACCTTGCCACATTCAAGAATGAGTAACAACTAAAGCACGGAAAATATCTATTCGACTAGATTACAGATTAGGAAAAAAGGACTCACCTTTTTTCCAACCTCAAGTGACCCTATTTCTTTATCCCAGAGTAGAGATTTTGCACCATTTATAGTCACCATTTTAAGAATAGTTTCAGCTCGAAGAGCAGTAGGATCTGTGGTTCCTTTGGTGAAAACTTCTCGCCCCTTGTTGATAAGAGAAGCAAGGTACATTTCATCCACTGCAAAGAAGTACATAAAATACTCAGTTATGGATGAGCTATGGGAGCTATGACATGACCCAGGTTAGGAACTAATCAAAATTATTATCCATTGCCTACGAAGGTAATTAAAATTCCCTGGAGAAGTCATCAGCAATAATTACCATTTAAGATGTGGACAGTTCTTGAAAAATTCAGAACAGTATATTAGTATATAAAAGGAGTAGTTCGCCAGACACTGCACTATAAACTGATAGATGGAACTTGCAAATTGTCAATATTTCTTGTGCAGTGGTTCAAGTCATAGGTGCATAGTTGCTAACTGTCTGAAATGTCCCCCAAGTCCAAGCTAATACAATGCAAAAGTTACTAGAAGGAAGAAAATTGTTAAAAGAAGCATATGCATGATTCAGCAGATGGACAGAATTTAGGGCACAAGAGGGTTGAGGAATCTGAGTACCAATGCTCATCCTATTATTCGACGGTGCACCATCCGTTCCCAAGGAGACACAGACACCAGCATCAAGCATTTTTCTAACCGGTGAAAATCCGAACATTTGCATTGCCGCAGCAGGACAATGAGATACTTTAACCCCAGCTTTTGCAAGCAAACTGACCTGAAAATGGCTATGTAAATAGAATTAATATCACTAACACAAAATGGTGCATATCACTGCTGGTTGAAGACAAAGCCTACTGGCAGAACTTAAAAGAGTAACAATTATCTAACCAAACATGCTTCCCTTGGATATATTTAGGGTCCATTTGGCACACTGTCGTGCGTAGAGCTTTAGCAGCAGAGCTTTTATTTATAAGCTGTTAACTGATTGGTTGTGAATCCAAAAGTGCTATGAAATTGACTATTTGGTAGCATAACTATAAAAGTGCTTTTGTATAAACATTATATTTATTTTACTAAACCGTAATTAATTACTATATATATATAACATAATTTTCTCTTTCATAAATTAATATTTATTTCATATCCTATAAAATTAAAATTAAAATTTTAATTAAATTATAATAACAGAATTATTTTAGTATATATCGTATTACATAAAATTTATTAATTTATTTACTTATTATGTGTAGTTTTAATTATAACACACCGACATGTATTTGTCACTATATATAAATATAAGTTAGAAATTTTTTTTTATAAATATATTAATGTTTATTTTGTTAATTTTAATGTTTCATTAAATATAAACTACAGCTTCCTGTAAAAACTCAATTAGAGCTTTTTTTAAACAGCTAAACAATTTGGGCTTATCTAAAACAGCTCTTTTAATCTGTTTTTCGGGTTAAAATGTACTTTTTGACTTTAGTCAAACAAGCAATATTTTAAACAGGAACTTTTAACTCCCTCAGAGTGCTTTCAGACATTGGAAAGGCCTTCCACGCATTCTTATTAAACTATTGAAGATTTAAGGTTATTCACAAATGAAATAATATTAGAGACTTCAAAAGTAATGCTAAATGGTCAAACTAATGAAAGCGATAGCATGCAAACACGTTGGGAGTAAGGAATAAGAATGTGCTTGTCGAGATAGTTACCCTTTTTACTCTTTTTTCTTCCTGTAGTATTTTGGTTTCTGTCAGTGAATTATAAATTGACGCTTTCCAACTGCATAAATATGACCTGCTTGAAGGAAATCAATGTATCGGGAAAGTAGATTGTACTTTCCAAACTTTCCCCTGTAGCATCACCCTCAACTACCTGGGAAACTATACTTGATGACAGGAAAGCTACCAAGATGACTCCTTTGAAATTTAGACACACACCTCAATGGAAAGGAAAATTCAAAAGAAACATGGAGGAATAAGAGAATATTTTTTTCTTGTACCACTTGACAATGACTCAATACAGACGGGTAAACAAATAAGACTGACCAGGTTTGGCAGAGTGCACATGAAAATGGCCAAAAAGAATACCTCCTCATCATTGACCCAGACGGTATGAGCTGCCAGCAAATTGTTCTGTAGTAGCTTGACTTTCTCGAGATATGTAACAGTCCCTTGAACTCCTCGTCTCTCCATCACATGTTGGTTCTCGTAAGGTATTTCTGCAACATGCTAGATGCCAAAACATTTATTAAACATGGACAATTAACTCTAATCAAATGTCAAGTGCAAAGCATAAAAATGGTGCAAGATATTATAATTTACACTCAATATCAATGATTCAATAACAGAGAAAATCTGAAACCAACTTACCAGACACATATATAACACAGGCTTGATACAAGAGAAAGATTATGATCTGCATGCAAATTTAAAAAAAAAAAGCCCTTCTCTAACAACTCAAGTTTTCATATGAATGATATCAGAGCTATTAATTTCAATTTCGCTGATAATTTGGAATCTTTCAACCACGAGCCTAAAAAATTCAGTGTCGGTTTGAGTTCATATATGCCGCTAAAGTAGGACCAAAAAACCATATCTAACATAGACACGTAACCAAAAGTTTTCTGCAACCCATTGGGGCTTTATACAATTTTTTATCCTCTTCTATATAATTTCGATGTTTTTATGTGGAAGAAATATGAGAAACATAAAGCACAGTTTGCAGTATCTGTAAGAAAAGCATCATACCTTTTCTACTTTTTGAAACGCAAATAAATAAATACTTTTAATACATATATAACATAGTTGTACAATTAAAAATTACTAGCATCCAACACTATCACATGGCTTAGTGCTCATGCCATTATTGAACCTTGGTCAGAAAACTCAATTTGAGAGATGAGGAATTCTATACCAACTTCGTTGGAGTTTAAAATTTGCCTTAAATATGCACTAATATGAAGACACACACACACTAACATAAATACCTACATCTTACCATATGGATTCCAGTTTCGAGTTCTTCTGCAGCATCTCTTGTTCCATTAAGTAGATCATCAGTTGAATTCATAATTTGCCTTATTCCAAACCATACTCTGATCCTTCCGTCAGCAGTGTTATGGTGCTTCTTGTACAGATCCTTCTGGGACTGTCCTTGAGAGAAGAACCAAGTAAATGTGCTGTGCTTAAAACAGAATAAAGTAGGTACTCAAAAATTTTGGACAGACGTGACGTTTAGCTCGTCTTTTTCACGATCCATTTGTTTGACTGAAACTGAGGAAGAAATGGATAAAAATTCACAATTACTAAGATTTAAAGATAGAAGCATTTAATATTTTTCAGTTCATAGATCTTAAAAGCTGATGTGTTGGAAGAAATTAGAGATTGATTGATGAACTGTGGTCATCTACGAAAATTTATTTTGAACTTCAATACAATGAGTTTAAAAGGCACCTAAATTGAGATTCTTACGTGTCAAAACCCCACTCTCCCCTCCCCCATCCCTTAGGAAAAAAAAAAAGAAACAAAAGAAAAGTTTAATTCCATAGAATATTGTGAATTCAAGTATGCCGTACGTAATTCGTGAAACCAGTGAAGATGAACATTGGGACTCGCCTTAGCATTCGCTACACATGAAAGGTGTAAAGCTGTAAACATAAATCCAATCATCTCAATCACAAGGAAATGCATATCCAATTGAAATACCCATTTGTATCTATGATTTTTCACTAACCTCAGATGCATAACATATTAGGTAATAATACAATTATTAGGTAAAAATACAATTATGTCACACCAAATCTGTAGCATAATAAACTTTATACTGTTCAACTTGAAGCAAGTCCAAAGAGTGTTGCACAAAGTCCACAAAGAAAGAAAATCCAACATTGCTTCAAAATTGCAGAAAACATGCATTGTCATCTTTTTGATACTGCAGCACAAATGAATAGTACACTCAACCTGAATACACTCCTCTGAAGTCCGCTTGGTCCATGATCCAGGCAGTCCTTCACCGGCATCCATGATTGATTCCACCAAACATGAGCGCAACCCCAGCAATTGGACTGCCCTTGCCATTCCAGTCACATGCTGCCCCCCAGCTTCCGCAAAGCAAGTAACCTATTGCATTAATGCACTTCATTACTTAACTAATGAACACTAAGAAATCCATCCTGCCGGAGCACGGCACAAACTACTGAAGCATAAGATACTAAAAAGCACTTACACCGGAGTGAATTAGTTCGATTCCACAGAGTAAAGTTGAAATATAAGAATCCTCCTCAGTCATGTTAGATTCATACGGCCATATGCGATTGTGTAGCCAAGTCAGCAAGTCAACATCATCGGCTATCCCTCTAGCCAGCTGCTGTGACGAGTGAACATGTGTGTTTATGAAACCTGTTCAGATAGTAACACAAATCAAATCAAGCACTATTATAGCATGTTTGGTGCACCGTGTTAGACTGGATCATCTCAGGTGTTTGGTGCAAATAACACCGGGATTAAAATAATTGAGAGATAAGATCCTCTTTTAGTCAACCCCATTAAAATAATAGACCTGAATATTAACTCATAATGCCATGAACAATAGGGAAAAAAGTTGATTAAATTAGGTTACAAGTAAATAAATTAAACAAGTAACTTATTTTGGATAAGTCTTTTCTAAAATAACTTTGTTTATTAACTAAAGTTAAAAAGAAGTTCCTTATATAGATAAGTAACATTTCTATTACTTTTAAGTAATAATTACTTTTTAAATTCCTATGTTTGTGCTAAAATAAGCAATTTGCTTATTTTTAACTTTGATTGAAAAAAATTATTTATTTTAATATTAACTCTTTTTTTATGAAAAGAAAATTTTACCTATTTACCAAGAAGCAAGTTACCTTTTAGCATCAAATAACTAACTTATATTTAACACTAATTAATAGAAAAATTACTCATTTACTTATAATAAAATTTATGTATTTCAATTAAACTAACTTTTTTTCCTGCTATTCATTGCATAGTTAATCCATAATTCGGTCTAAATCCATCTCAAAGCATCTCATTGAAACGGTTGAATAACTATTGTTCGCACCAAACACTGGATATGATTAAATCAATCCTATCCGATCTAACACAGGTACAGCACACCAAACATGTTGTTAATGCTTTATTTATCCCTATATGCTAAAATTTACGAATTGCAACATGTATAAATGCAGGAGGAGTACCTGGGAGGATGAAATGTCCTTGAAAATCGATGAGTTGAGGGGAAAAAGAAGAGTGCTGCGAGACGATATCGGTGGACTGGCCGATGGCTTTGATCGTGTCGTCTTCAATAACAATTGCGCCACTTTGGAACACGCGATTCTGGGTATCCATGGTAACGATCAGAGCATTGTGGAGTATAAGTATAGAGTTGTTTTTGTTGTGTCCCGATTCCATTTTCAACGCCGTATCGTTCGTCGGTAAATTAATTATATTCTTCTTTTCAAGGGTTTGGGTTTCCATCGGAAACTAGAAACTGTAAATGTAAATCAATTATTTGTCCTTGTTTGGTGAAGCTATACTTCACTCATTTTAACATAATTTTTTATCAATTTTACAAGATTGATGCTATTTAATCTCATTGACATTGCAACTTCAATCTTGACAGCGTTGATGTGATATCATAGAATTGAACTACTTGTACAATAAATTTGCACAATGATTTTGACAATATGGGAGGTGTATAGATCATTACCATTAAATTCAAAAACAATCTTTCAAATCAATGGACATAATATCTGCCAACTCACACATTGTCAAACTTATTGTCCAATTCAATGTACAAGTAGCATAGTTCTATTAAGGTCATATTTGAGCCAAATTATTGTAGAATGAGAATGAAAAATATGGCCGTTATTAAGGCCCACATAAGAGATAGAAAATTTAAATTTAAATGTTAATGTGATGGATAACGATCATATTTTTCAAATTAATGAGATAAAAAAGTGGTCCAAACGGGGGCATAATCACATTAATATGCGAAGAAATAAAGAAAACTCCCTACTCAAAATTCTTGATTTATGGCCCGTTTGATTCTTATTATTGTAGAATGAGAATGAAAAATATAGTCGTTATTGGGCCCCACACAAGAGATAGAAATTCAAAATTGATGGCTTGATGTGATGGATAACGATCATATTTTTCATTTTAATGAGATAATAACGTAGATCAAACGGGAGGCTAAATATTCCATCCATTTCATTTATATAGGCTTGTTTTATTTTTTACACGAATTAAGAAATCATATTTAATGTTATTGAAAAAATATTTTTTGTCGAAAACTTTCCTAATTTACCCTCATTTAATTATCAATAACTAGTAGTAAATTATTATTAGAAGTAGTAAAGAAATGAGGATATATTAGTAAATGAACAAAGTAAAATATTCTTAATAAATAAACAAGATTATATAATTGAGACAAAAAAATATTTCAAAATAGATAAATATATATTATATAGTGGCAACGTTATACTGTGCAATAGGTATAAGTACCTTTTGGACTTGAACTACACTTAGTGATAATAATTTCCATGTGAGGGGGCCATAATGGACTAAACCTTGAATTAGGTTCATTTGGTCAAATTTCAATTGTTCCACATACAATATCGATTTAAGCTCTAGTTCATATCGGGAAGCCCTATTAATGATCATACGTTCTAATCTTGATTCTAGTCAGTGTCTCTAGGTAATAACACAATCTTATAGTCACATCTCATGGCAACTCTTACATAGGTGAATCCTCCAAGGATGCGTGTGACACAGATCTCGTGAGAATTCTAGCATCGATACTCATTCATAGTTAAACTCTTTCTAACATCACATCTATTATTAGCACCATCACCATAGGGATAAGCACATATAAAATAGTGTTATTACAAGTCACGCAGTTACGGTTGTTTCTACCACATTTAACCTTCTTCATGGAATCTCCAATTACAAACGTTGTATTGCTCCCGAATATGACTCTCTTATGAGCTTAAGACCATCCCATTGATGATTTATTATGTTCCTCTTGGACAATAATTTGGTACCATCAATTTACAACTTCTCCTGCATATTTGCAAAGTCACCTAAAAACTTTTCCAAAATGTCAATATCATATATTTAATTATAATAAGATAACTTCATGAAATTTTTTATATGGAGGATTGTTTAATAATAAGATTATAATAAGATTGTTTAATTAAAAGCTAAAGCAAAAAAGAATCAAACAATCTTCAGTTAGTATAAAGAGCACCATAGGAAAATCGCAATTAAATGTTTCATATCTTACAAACACAGTTTAAGGTCACACATAATTGACGCACAAA